AAAAGATGCTGTATCCACTATATGTATTTACAATATAAGATCTAATATATGAATTAGGAAAAATCACAGCTTTAGTTTAAGCTTTTTGGTTATTTAACTTCGGTCTATTTCTGCTATTATGGCTAAACACCAACGCTAGGAGACGAGAAACCCCAACCTGCAAATTTTGCCTTATTCCCACTTTGTCGTGGGGTAGGGATCTTTTACTTGCCCAACATTATTTCCGAGGGATATATATTGTTTTTATCAGTTATTATTTAACCACATTTATCAACGATGTGAAACATTTCCTTCTAGTTGCAACCCCTCAGCTCTACAAGTTTCAAAGGATAATATCCTGTTAAGAGTTATGTAGTTTCTCGAAACCAAATTGCATGTTCAGCATCGCAATAACTTATCTACGAAGGAAACTGCATTAGTTCTCATCATTCTGTTCTAATTTGGATACTCATTATTTATAATGCACTGTTTCAATCAATCGCACCAAGGCTTGTTAAGGGGTGCTATATTCCACTACATACTTTAGCCCTAGCAGTTTCAGATTCCGTACTAAATAGTCCGATTTTTCATAGTCTTCAAAGCCTTATAACTCTATAACTCCTCAGTTTTTATTAGCAAAAATTTTTTATTCAGATTTACACTTTATTTTGAGGATAAACGTTCGTGGCTTTAGAATGTTGTTTATTACTGGACACAATACTTCAAACATTTTTGTTAACATTTAACGCATTTATCAAGATATCCAGTTAACTGATGAAACTATGACGTCCGTCAATAATTACAACAATTAAACTCATTTTGGTATAGCCATTTGACCAGACTGATTATTACCACAGTTATGTAGCTTCTGTGAAGGTCCACATTATATTCTTTTAATTCTAATTTAAATATAATCAAATCACGCATCAATGACAGTACGATAACTTTAAACTTATTTAATGTTGAATAATTAAAGCACGTAGTATGTTGAACTAAATTATCCAGTCACTCAAATGAAATTCATTTCTGTTTTGAGTGTCCTGAGAGAGAGGGTGGTACTCTTATTGTCCTTTTTATTGTATTTATTATATTTTGGAATCAGGAAATTGTCGCATGCGAGTGCTTTCCTTCTATGGATATAATATAACGATACAATTGATTTATGCTAGGCCCGCAAATTCAATCCCATTCTTCCAGAGGAAGAAAAAAATTCTATAGTACGTACATTTTAGGGACAAGAATACACGAAATCTGAAATATGAAAAATGTTTTTTTACCAAAACACAAAAAGTAGGAATATATCGTTTTAATAAAAATAATAGTATGATATATTTCAGATGTTATGTTTCAGCAAACCATTTTTCATCGATAAATTTCCTTTTTTTTGAGCATAAATCTTACATCGACATTTATATTTTATATGATTGCAGATTTATGAGCAACTAATAAATAGAATTGAATTTAAAAATTTGTTTGTTAGGTCAATAATATATTCAGGGTGTCTCTAAGGTACTACTTAAGAAATTTATTGGGTCAAAACAAGTTAATTTAGACCAAAGTTACCAATATACAACCCCCTGAAAGAGGTACCATAAAGTAATATTTTTTCATACAACTTTAAAACAGGTTAGAAATTTCTGATCTTATTTATTTATTTGAGTGTAAAATGTTTCTAGAAATGTAGGAAAATTACAGACAACTTTGACAGACCCATAACTTTTTGCGTATACCTGCGGCTATTTAATTTATATTTTTCAATATGAAATTTATTTTTTTCGAATTTTTGTCTCTGATACAAAAAGCCAGAAAAAAATATCTTTGATATTAAATGCACTGATATACATGGTGTTAAAAAATTCCGTTGTTATAATATGACACAAAAAAATCTAAAGAATTCAGTACTACAATTGTAATTTACTTGATGATGGACATACATATAAAAAATGTTATAGGTTTGTCAATGGGTGGGCCTAAATAAATAAAGATGTATTCTAACAAGTTTCTAGTTCAAATCGTCAGTTAGTTAGACACTTCCAGTTCTAAGAATACTAAACATTCACCTCCAAAGATTCCAACAAAAATTTTGAAAAAGGAAGAACAAAACAAAGGAGCCTAATGTTAAAGACTCTAGTCTGATTATATGGACTGCTTAGAGACAAACATAGGAGTTGAAGCTACGACATATGGGGTTAAGGAAAGAGTTGAAGTATAGTAGTACATGCTCAGTCTTCCAGGCAGAAAGCGACGGAGTTAATAAGGAGAAATGTAAAATAATTAACACTGACAGTCAGGCAGCTGTAAAGGCAATTAAGTCATAATAGATTAAACCTGGGTATAGTACTATAATTTGACTGCTTTGGTAAGATTATAAAGTCAAAAATATATAATTCTAAGGACAAAAAATGGATAAATTGCCAAATTATGTTCATTCGTATTACTACAGGAGCTCAAAACCCCCTGCAACAAGGATAAGATCAAATATGACAAGAATAAGTTCTTAAAATGTTCATCTAAGGAGTTCAGGTATGATCTACTTAACCAAAGTCACAGAATAGTAAGACTCCTAACTGGACATTGTAGACTTAGGAAACATCAAACATCTGAGTAATATTGATCTGGTAGAAAACTGCCATTGTAGGGTTTGTAAAGTTTGTCAGGAGGACGAGGACGTCACAGCTCATTTGTTGCACAAGTGTGAAGGTCTAAAAACCTGCTAGCAGGGGTGCGTTGTCTATTGCTTGGAAGAGATAAACCAGAACCTGCATGTTTTGAGATGAAGCCACTGTCAAATTTGTGGAGATAAATTAAAAGCAGAAGTTGGACAATAGAGTTACAGATGTGGAGTAGTAAAAAAGATGCTGTATCCACTATATGTATTTACAATATAAGATCTAATATATGAATTAGGAAAAATCATAGCTTTAGTTTAAGTTTTTTGGTTATTTAACTTCGGTCTATTTCTGCTATTATGGCTAAACACCAACGCTAGGAGACGAGAAACCCCAACCTGCAAATTTTGCCTTATTCCCACTTTGTCGTGGGGTAGGGATCTTTTACTTGCCCAACATTATTTCCGAGGGATGGTATGCCTTCCTATACAAACCTTGCCAAAATTTGTGAATACACCGACATACAAGACACTATAAGGTGGATGAGCATACCAAGCCCGGATAATCAGCCATCCAAGTAATAACCGCGATAAGCGAAAGCTTGACTTGACATATCAGTGACATTCATGCCAAGTAGTTCTCGCTTCTTAGGAAGAACCATGTATATTATATATTATTTTTATACTTTTTCTTCTACTTTTATTACGGGTTTAATTTACAAAATTTAATACAGTTAAAATAAGACAAAAATATACACACACTTCCCTAATTTAAGTTGTTATTCATGAAAACACTCCCAAATTTCATTTTTACACAATAAACGTTTCGTGCTCGTAGGCTTTTATATGCCATTAACCGTTATTACAGCTCTTCCTTTTTTTCCAGGTGTCGCCCAGTTAATAAATAAAGAAAACAACGCACCATTTACAGACTGTGATGTTTCGCTTTTCGAGGCATTCGCAATTTTCTGCGGTCTCGGTATACACAACACCCAAATGTATGAGAATGCCTGCAAGTTAATGGCCAAACAAAAAGTTGCCTTGGAATGCCTTTCATATCATGCCACAGCCAGCATTGACGCCACGGAAAAACTCTTGAAGGAGGATATTCCCACCGCGGACTGCTTTAATTTGTACAGTTTTACGTTTATCGACTTTGATCTTTCAGATGCCGACACTTGCAAGGCTACGATAAGGATGTTCCTCGAATGTAATTTGGTACAGCAGTTTCACATTCCATATGAGGTAACGTTATGACTTTTTCCTACTCTATTTTTCTTCTTTATTTTCATAAATAAACCACACATGATGAGCTAAATATAAAAGTTTAAAATATTTATTAAATTCGTAATTTAAACTTGTTTGGTATTCACCTATGTAGATAATCATTTGCTGATAATTACGTATAATTTCAATTCACAAATTAAACAAAAATTCATAAACAATTTGCACTTCAAGCTTGTCAGGTGGTTATCTGATAATATTTAAGAAATAATTCTTTGAAATGTATAGTGTTACACATAAAATATTACTATATGGACAGAAAAAATAATAAAAAATAAAAAATCGCGTACGTGATTTCCTTCTTATGTCAAACTGATATAGAAAATACTGCTTATATAATTCGAAATTCCACAAAACATAAAACTAGGAAAATCATGTTTTAAGTTATGCCATTATTATTTCACATAAATGAGTTGAGGTTATATGGAAATTAAGGCAAATATATTTCTTAAATAATCATAAATAATAAATAATCTAAATTAATGATTAAACAAGGTTTTTAAAAGTTTGACTTAAATTATTGTATGATTACAAGATGCAACAGACACAAGCAAAATACATTATTATAAACAAACTACCTTATATTTAATTTAATATATAATAATATTTAATAGCTGATATGATCTCTTAACAGAGTAAACCTTTCAATCTAATAAAATGTTCAGTAGGTAAGGCATTGCACGGTAACATTTGCTATTTAAGCTAACATATATTATGTATGTAATGTTCCTTTCTGTCCCATATTAAATTACAATATTTCTGACGTTAATTTGATTCCTGTCATATTTAACATACATAATAAGAACCTATTTTGATGTTTTCTGTATGAACAGGGCAGAAGTTTTCTAGAAATTTAAAAAATATATATTACAGATATAGAGATGTCTTTTGGTAAAAGTTTTATTCCTTTATATTTTTTATGTATGGATACATGAAAGTATGAAACTACCATGTATTTTAAAAATCAAAATGAAATCATTTAACTAAATTTTTGTTTTTAATATAAATAGATCATTAGCTTGTGATGTAGAACGTGCCATTAAAACTTATCCAAGTATTTTAGTTACATTCTGTATAAGTTTGTTTATATTCCAGGACCATAAAGGTAAATTAATAAAAAAAAATTAAAAAGTTATTAGGATCTACCATTGTGAAGTTAGGAACTTCTCTCTAATATTCTTAAGAACTTGACACAATATTTTTAAATAAAAAAAAATGTGAGTAAAGCAAAATTTTTCAAATTTAATAAAAAATATATGTAAGATGCAGACTATAATATAGAAAGGTCTGTTGCTTGTACAAGGCGTGTTGAAGGTAATAAAGGCTTAATAGAAAGAATTACATAAGTTTAAACTACTTATTTATCAATTTATTAATTTATTTCACATGTTTGACAGAATTAACATAACTAATAATTAAGTAACATTAATTTAGCCACCTGAAACGAAGGCTTTCTACGAACAAATTTCTTTCGGATGAAGCAATATTATATTCCATTTTGAATAGAAGAATGATCAAACCTGGCAGCGACACAATTTTTGAAACAGAAAAATCTTAATATTCTGTGATGTAGCGGTATCAATTTATGCCAAAGCCTCAACAAAATTACGAAATAAAGCTGAGATAAACAGATACCTTTTGTTGCGACAATCTTAAATAGAAAATAGGTCATTCTTGATGTGCATATTCTTCCTGGTAATAACAAAACCCAATGTGAGATGAAAATCTATAAAACTTGTTATTGTTAGGCTGATAATAAACGTGTCTCTCACCCTATCATTGTATTTAAACATATGGCTAATAAAAGAAGATTGACGTCACATCCCGGGTCATAATGTTGTTGAAACGTTACCCTTATTCTTATAAGACCGTCCGCAATTTGAAAGAAAACTGAAGGAGAAAAGAAATTAATTTGTCGTTTTTATAACCAATGTTTAAAGTTTTATAAGTAGGTACCAATTTTTGTCTGTAGGAGAAAGTGTGTGCAATAATTTGATTTTTTCAGTCGTTAATAATACAAATAGAGAATTAAATTAAAATAATTTCATAACATTTTTTGTCCTCCATACATGATGTACGCAGTATAGGTGTTGTACGTTTAATTCGCAATAGTATAGATTAAGGCCCGGTACTTCGAGTCTCGGTTAAGTCCTGATTACCTAATCAGGCGATTAGACAGTGTATATTGTTTATAAAATAAATAGGTATACGTACAGTCATGTGATTACTTAATCAAGGCTTAACCGAGACTCCAAGTACCAGACCTAAGATAAATACAAAAGTAGAACGACTAAACTTAACTATTTCCAAGAAGCAAACGATTTAGATGGAACTTTACAAAGTTCAAAAGCAAAACTTACAAAATAAAATAAATTCCATTAATAGCTAAAACTCTTTGTAATCGTAAAAATAATTTATTTCTCCAAACATCACTTCTTTTAGACAAAGATGTGGTAATATGATATTGTTTCTGTTTTTAATTCTGTTTAATTGAGTCTAAAGCCTCTGTTTTCATCAGTATGAATGATATTTAGTTGATTCATTTTCTATTGTTTTTGTTGTTTTCTGAACTGCATTCTTATCGCAAATTGCTAATCAGAGCAATGGGTGTGATGTTAAATTATGGTCATTAGTTTTCAGTTATCAGAAGATTAGAAAATGATTGTTAGTTGTCGTGGCTTTTGGTTGCTTTCGCTAGTATTATTAATGCATAATTTCTTATGCATTCTTCTTCTGATAGTTGATGTGTTTTGGTTCTCTTTAAGTCCCATAACACCGCGGCCTTATCAGGCCAATTGTGCATCCCACTGTTCAAACTTATTCATCAAGTAGCTTTGTCCTTTTTACAAAGTCCAAAAGCTTCCTTTCTCTCACTTCTCCCAGTTTCTTGAGTTCCAGAGAGGGTTTTCCCAGGAGCGTTATTCTCTTTCTCAGTTTCCTGAGCCGAATTTTACTCCACAAGTTCTTTCGCATGGCTTTGCCCTGGCATTGAAGCCCAATATTTTCTATGTTCTGACTCAGTCCATTTGCCCAGAGCCCCCTGACCACACGGAGATATGTGCCACAGAAGAGCCGCCACCAATGAACTCTACTTCGGATCCCTTCTAGCAAGTTCATCCGCTTTCTCATTTCCGTCAATGCCTTTGTGTTTCGGCACCCAACAAAGTCTAACCGTATTAGTGGTAGCCACTAATAATAAATATTGCCTTGAAATATAGACCGCCCCAGATTGTAGCTTGCACAAATGCACACCATCTGGGTCTGAGTCCATATATTCCTCCATTCGTTCCTCTGGTTAATTTGGAGCCATCCGTAAACCATACCAGGCTCCATCTTTCCAGGGTATCAAACTTTTTCTCCCATTGAAACCTTGTAACCATCTTGTTGAATACCATCCCCAGAGGTGGTCTCTACATAGATGGTTCCATAATCCTGGAATATAGTCTTTATTGTTCCTGAGTCAGTATGATGCTAACCACGCTTCTAGCGCAATGATGTATTTTTTAATTAAAGACGTAATATTTGCATTTTAAGAAACTATGTTGTTGAGTTCTCAGTGAAAATAGAAATTAACATTGAAAATGTAGTTTCTGTATTCATGAAGTTCGTCAAATAAACCTGAAAAATAACAAGGTCGAAATCCCAAGATTTAATATTTTTCAAAATAATTCCAAAATTAATCTTAAATTAACAAAGATATTTTCGATTTACCCCCGGGCCCCGGGAATTTGGAGCATCCTCTTACATTAATCGATTGTACTTGTACATATTATGTGGCAGAGATATGTACTATCATTTGTAACATCTGTAGTAAAGTTTTTGTACCGTTTACATAACTTGTGAGGCGGCTTTATATTAGATAACATGACAAAACCATTCTAGATGACGTTAGGAATGTAGACCGCAACAATATTTCAGGACGCGATATAAGGTTTTTTGTTGCAGGTTCTTTGTCGGTGGATACTGAGCGTAAAGAAAAACTACAGACCCGTGAAGTATCACAATTGGAGGCATGCCCTTAACGTGGCTCAAACAATGTTCGCCATGTTCAAGACCGGAAAAATGGAAAGGTTTGGAACTGCTTAGTATCACCATTTTTAATAGTAATATAGGGTGTCAAGTAAAAGTAGGTCAAGCCGTTAATCACAAATTCTTTTGGGGACGACTTTCCGTGTGATATTTTTGCATCCCTTTCAACATGCAAAAGTTACAATTTAAAAACATTTTTTTCGTATACGTTGCATGGCGTACAATTGAGTTGAAATTTTGCACAAAAGGAGAAAAGGAGGCTGTAATAGCCATAACCCCTACTTTTTCTTGTATGCATATCTATATGCTTCCATATATATTTGTTTCCAAGCTTTCGTTTCTTTAATTTTTTTTCAGTTTTTACACAAGATATTCAGTACGATAACATCTTTGAATATCCGATATCACTCACTATTGCTGAATTTCCAAATTTTTCTGGAGTGAACTAAATTTTACAAAATTTGTTAGGGCTGTACTGATTTGGATATTTTTCTGCATAACATCTAACAGTCAAATTGGCATTGCAGTTTATATATTTTATATTGATTTGTATTATTTATCTGCCCTCAGCCCACGTACGGCTTCACTCTGACACTTGTGAAAATGAATGAATCATAAATTTTCCAGCATATTCCATGCTTCTTTTCTAAAAGAGATCAGTTGTGATTTCACAGAGGTGTGAGACATATTATATCCTTAGTATTAAATATTACTTTTCAATGTTTGTCTTGTTTTCTGAATTTCAGTATTGGAATGTAGATAAGTAATATTTCAAACTACGCCAATTTATTTTTTAATAACGCCAAGCTCTAACTGTTGCTTGGATTATTTTAACCAAAATTATGTAAAAAGTGTGCCGAATTTCAACCCGAAGAATTTGTAGTTAATGGTTTAACCTACTTCTTTTTAACATCTTGTTTGTCATCTCTAATGTTTTGTCTAATTGAGAACCGACAAATATTTAAAAGCGATAATATTTTTACAGTTATTTATTTAATTATATTAATCACTAAGTACTGTTAGAAATTATTAGACTTTATTCGTTAAACTATAGTGTCCATAAATTGTTTATTTGTTATATTATTTTCATTTTCATCACTAAACTGGATTCAAATATATGTTGAATAACTAAACCATACCTTACACAATTGCCTAATTGATCGTTTTAATTTAAATTTTTAAATTAAAACATCCAAAAAAGTAATATTGATGTTTTATTGACAGAAAGGCAACTAAATTCACATTCCTAGAAAGCGACTAAAATATAAACAATTTTATTTAAAAATCTACAAAAATTACATTAAAGCTCTGTGGGTTTGATAGGATAAAAGTTCAATCTCGCCCTAAGGCCAGTGTAGAAAGATTTTCAGAGTCAATAGTGAGTAAAAAGATGCTCTTTCTGTCGCACAAGACATCATCATAAAGTTCCCGTCTGAAAAGGGGCTAACCCGGCTAATCTTTTGATAACGCTTCGCTTCAAATTGAAGTTTGGTGAAGTTACCCTTTTTAAATCCCGAGTAAACAAAATATAGATTTTTTTGCAGGATGAGACGGCGGGAAATTAGTATGCAAGCTGTTGAAAAATTCATTGAGAGGGAGAGAGATTGACTTTTTCTGCATACTATTGGCAAATCCTAGAGAACATTAAGATGTTATGATTCTGGCAAAATTCTGGCCAACCAATTCTAAGTATTTTAATTGACGATAACGCCAATATATGTAGCATCTAAAAAATAATGGACCAGATTTATTGAGTGTTTCAAAAATTCTCTTTTATTCTATGTGTTTTATTTCAATGGAAACAGCTTAATATTTGGAAATTATTTGTTACATAAAAAAAATTTTTCCAATAAAATTTGTAGCATATATCGGTGAAAAAAGGATGATATGAAATGAGTTTTAAAAAAATAATTATCACGCTTTCTTCATATTTGATTTGCTCTCGTATTTAAAATTTTAAAATCGTAATTTTTTTCTAAATCGTCATAAAATCATAAACAAGAAAGACCATACTGCAGTTGGATTAATTAAATAAAAACTGTATGAAGTTATTTTGAAAGTATCATGAATGAAATTTTGAATGTTAGGATAATAAACTTTAGTTGTGATGTAGCAGTACGTTTGTCGCATTAATTCCATGAACTTGTTCTATTTTCAATTGGAAATAAGTTTTGACAAAAGAAGTCTAGAAAAGTTACATCATTTGATGCCAAATTAGTTATTTCTTAACTGTCACTAGGTGCGCAACTAAAAGTTTCTTGTGATTTGATATATCTTATATGGGTAACATTGCAATTATCGGGTATTATTAATATAAGTACTTAGTGTTTTATACATAATAACAAGAATAACAAATTTGTAGATAACATATGCTATTTATATATAACTGTTTTCCACTTTTTCATGCACGACAGTAAAAATAAATGTCAGCATTTGGCAATCGCGAAAAGTTCAAGAATTTACTCGAATGCAAAGGGCAGTACTAATAGTTGAGAAAATATAAAGTTGAATACGAAATCGTTCTGCTCTGATTTTTTTCCACTATTTCCCCATTAATATTATTTATTAAAACAGAAATTTGATAAACTCATCTTTGTCATCCTTAGGTGGTGGGCATCGGAATTATATCAAAATATCTTGACAAACATAGACGAAATGAAACCTTGTTAAAGTAAAATTACCTATTTGCGTTAGTATCACTTAAATCCATAATGTAATTACAGGTTTATGAGCGACTTGGAGATACTGGGACTGCTGGTAGCTTGTCTCTGTCACGATTTGGACCACCGAGGCACGAACAACGCATTCCAAACGAAAACCGATTCACCTCTGGCTGTTTTGTACTCGACGAGCACCATGGAGCACCATCACTTCGATCAGTGCGTCATGATTCTAAATACAGACAGCAATAATATATTTCAAGTAGGTGGGTTTGGTATATACACTGTAAATTCCGTTTCTAATGCACGAAACCTTATTTATTTTGAAAGTAAGATTATTTGTTCGAAAAATGATTTAAGAACGAATTAGTCCTGCATTCATACTAGAATAACAATTAAAACATTCAAAGATAACATTTATAATGAAAAATATATATGTATACCTACCCCAAAAGCTTACCTGAAGTCGAACACACTGTACATTCTGCAAGTCTTCTTTACTGATCTGTAAAAATTTGATCTATTTAATATCGGATGTATGTAGAGATGACCCTTCGTCTATTCACATTGCTGATACCGAAGACCCATATAAGGCAAATCTGGAGTATATCAAATTATAAACCTATCCAGCTGTTACCTTAATCAAGGAGGCTCTTAAAATCGGATCTTCTATAATTTCCTCATAAATATCAACCCTCTACAAACTCCATATCTACCCACATTTTCAATAATCGATAGTTACGTTAGCTGTTCCGTCTGTACGAATATTTAATCATTTTTTTAAGGTACATAGGTTTCATCAATTTTGTTTGGACCATCTAATCGATATGTCAGTTTAATCAGTTAAAACAATATTGGATGTTACAGCGACGTTACCACAGACTTTCAGAGCTGAATTTTCCAGTCAACGCAAACAAAAAATAAGCATAATATATTTTTCTTAATACATCATGCAACATTTGAAAATAAAGGCTTTCGATTTGATAAAAAATGCAGTTCTCTCGTTATGGCTACCTTTGCGTAGAATCTGAACAAAAGTAAGCAACTAGTGGCGTTGGAAGTAGGAGTGGTCTGAGGATTTACAATTAAAAAATTCATCTGCTAAATCATTAAAAACATTTGTATCTTTAGTTTTGGTCGTAGAATCATCGTTCACGGGTTGTTAGCGGAGCATAGATCAGTAAAACTTTTTTTTACAAATTTGTATTTATTTTATTAAAACATAATAACAAAAATACTCGACCATTCTATAGTTACATATCTCTAAATTAGAACGAATGAATTAACTTTTGTTTCTAGATTTGTTGCTAATGTGGTCCTAATATCGTTATGGTTTTGGACCATTGATCAAGTCAGTTGCATTTACAGAAAAACTCCAAAATAAACGCAAACATATGGATTAGAAATGTTTATCCAAATCTGCAAAAGAAGTTTCTTTGAGTTGAAAACTTTCTCTTAATTCCAATACCACTGGTTAGTTTTGTTTCATATATTATTAAATCAAAGAACTGCAATAAATAAACTTTGACGTCTTTATGGTCAGTGGTCTTTGAGTACCTGTTTAATTGATCACAAACTATTGTTTCACTTTCAACCTTTGAAATGTACTTATATCCTTTTACGAATCATTTTAAGAAAGAACGTTAATCTCTTTTTTTTTGTTCTTTTGGGAGCAATCAGTTCTGAAACTTATGTCGCGACGCTTCTTGTGTACAGGGTGTCCGGAAATGATGAGCAAAAAATTCAGGGGATAATTCTAGACCGAAAATAAATGATACCTCTTTCTATAACATTTTTTCCAAAACTGATTATTATTATTAACTGAGTTACAGGGTGTTAAAGTTAAATTTTATTTGCAGTTTTTTTGCAATACCCTTTGCCACACTCATAATATTTTGACGAAATTTCGTAGAAGGTAGAAATATTCGGATTACCCCAAAAAATGCAAATGTATCCCTACAAAGCATTTTTCAAATTTCAAGTCAAAATCTTTAAAATTATGAAATAAATATAAATTAAAAATTTAAACACTCTGTATCTCGGGAACGAAGCATAATTTGACCGAAGATTATATGCACTTTTTTTTACAAAAAAACTTCGGTCACCACCCCCTAAAATATTTCGCACTTATTTACAAACACCCTGTATATTTGAAACGCGTTAGATAGTTTTTTTTCTAATACGACATGGATAGTGCGGGTACAAATTCATGCAAATACAAAAAAAACTAGTGGCACATAAACTTCATTTTCACCTTATAAAAAATAAGTCACTGTGTAAAATATAAGTAGTGACATATTTAAAATTTTCACTGAATTTGAGGCATAAATGGTAAGTATACTTATTGCAGTTCGTTAAAAGGCATAATTCCAGAAGAAAATTAATTTCAAATTTGGGGGTATTTTAGACTAATTAAACTTCACTTTTTTTACTAAATTGGTAATTAAATGGAGTAGTTTTTCCAATTCAAACCGACTTACCTTAGATATATTTCACAGAATGTGGTTCAATAAATATTTAGAAGCTGATATCTGAGTAGGTGTTGACTTTTGAATGTAGATAAAAGTTGGTCTAATTGTAAAAATAATCGACATACCTGCAAATTTAGTATATGATGTTAATTTGAATACCTCCAAATATTCGACTGTCTGTAACTGGTTACTGTTAGTAGTAGATAATTGAAATCCTTTTCTCTCTTAGGAAGTATGCATTTTAATTAGTATGGCTGTGGCTGAATGCTAAATGAACACCCTCTACGATTATAAGAATGTAGTTAGAGCATCCTATTTTCTGAAGAAACAGACACAATATTGCAAAGGTTGCAACTTTAATATATTATTTTGTTACGTATCTGTTCCAAGAACAACTGCATTTTCTATTTAATTTTCTTTAGGTTTTTTTATATGTTGCACCTAATACGTGACAATTTATTTTAATATGTTATTAAAACTTCACCGTAATTTACATTCTGAAAATTAATTAAATGCTCATTCTCAGTGGAAATACATAAAAAAATCGTAAAAAAACTTCTTTCTAATGAAATATTAATTTAAAACCAAAACGGGAAAGTCTGGCTAACTCGGTCTTATTATTTGCGTGCAGATATTACCTCAACTAACCTCTATTATCTTCTTTTGTATCTGGATAAAGCACACGCATGAAATTTAATTACAGCAAAACAGCTATTAAGTCTGAATATTCGTTAAACTAACCTAGTTTTTATTATCTTTGCTTTATTAATTAACTCAATACATAAAATGACCACTGTTTACCTATAAAATGAAGTATGCAAGGTTGCGTTTCAAAGTAAACAGGGCTTTTTAAAAATAAGAACAAAAAGTTCTTTTGGCAAAACCGATTTATTTTATTCAAAATAATCCCCTTTATACTCAATATAGCGATTTGCCCGGTTTAAAAGCAAGTCGAATTAGTGTTTTAGATCGTCGACCGGGATGCCTTTCAGGATGTCAGCACAAGCCTTTTGGATGGCTTGTGCTGACACAAAGCGCTTTCCTTTTATCGGCAAATGTATTTTCCCGAAAAGGTGAATTTCGCATGGTGCCAAATCAGGCGAGTGTTTGGCACAATTTTCGATCGATGAGATGACGCATTATCGTGCAACAAACGCCAGCTTCCTTCTGCGCGATATTCTGGTCGAATATGATGAATACGATATGCCAGACGCATTAAAACGCCGAAATACAATTGCTGACAATGCCCTTGGAATCGTAAAAGCAAATCAACTTTGTCTTTACTTTTGACTTTTTCAAACGAGATTTTTTGGGTTTTGGCTCGTTTGGCTCCGTCCACTCGGCACTTTGGTCTCAGTATCATATTGAAAACACCATGTTTCATTACCAGTCACAATGTTGTAAAGTTTTTGTCCTTTTATCCTCCTTGATGATCTTCGAATGTTGAATTTTTTGAGCAATTTTTGATGATCAATCAACTTGTGCGGAACAAACCGTGCTTACACTTTTCGGCAGCCCAAATGTTCGGTAAAATGAGATAAATTCATGTTATTGACATGTTCAGTTACAATTCCGTGAATTTCAATGGAGATTTTGGCTCATCTTTGATGGATTTACACACAGTTTTGATGGAATCTGCGGTGATCACGGATTTTGGTTGGCCAAAATGTTGCTCATAATTTTTAAACCGCGTATACTACTCATGAACTCTGCCACGGGATAAACAATAATCACCATAAACTTGGTTCATCAATTGAGACATTTCAATAGAAGTTTTACCAAGTTTAAAACAAAACTCAACAGTTAATAGCTCTTTGTTCGATGCTCATTTTTGTACCGATGACACAAACATACTGTCACTTCAGATACAATAACTCATTAGAAATTCAAATTTTTGATAAGTCCTGTTTACTTGTATTTAATTTTTATTCAATGAAGCTACCTATTAGAATAATATTATTTTTTATACAATTATATATGTAATATCAAAGGGCAACATATTATACAGAATATATATTTTTAATATTTGTAACATTTCTAAACTAATTGAATTAGTTTAGGATTTCCCATCGGAAATTATAATCCTGGTAACTAACAATGATGTCTATATTGTCGATGTGAATTAAAAAGTTATCTAGATAAAACTACTGAAACAAACATAATGTGACATATTTATACAGGGTGAATTGACATTTGAAAATAAATAGAATTTTTAAAGTTTGGAAAAAATTATACTAGTTAGCTATAACTGAGATATTCAAATCAAATTTGATACATGGATAAGTTTTCTTAATATGCTTACAAGCCCTTTAAACAAAAAGTAGCTAGATATATGGAATTGCATGCTTTTATTAATTTAATTTAAAAAAGTGGTAGGGACGGCCCTATCAAGTAAAAGTCATTATATCATAATTTATTACGCTTACTTTATTTGTTTCAGGCGTTGTCCCCTGAAGATTACAGAAAAGTGATGAAAATGGTGGAAACGGCAATTTTATCCACGGATCTAGCCATGTATTTTAAAAAGAAAAATAAGTTTTTAGAACTTATAGACAATGGCGAATTTGACTGGCAGAGCGAAGACAAAAAAGAATGTAAGTATAGTTGAAATTATTTTCTTGGCATTCCCTGAAAAAAAGGTGCCGCGATTTAATTTTCTATGAGTTCCTATAAAATTGAAAATTACAATAGGTACCATAAATATGCTTTTTTTTGTTAATGTAAAGAAATTTCACTGTAATTTTCAAATTTTTTCTTAAAAGTTCTACTGCTTTAATTTCCTTTACCAAAAGACATTATTTCAAAATGTGTTTCATTGGGGTGTGTGTTATTTCAATGTAAATGCGACCAATATTATTGTATGAAAATTTACAATTGTGCTGCCTCAGATGTAATCTTAAATTTCTTGAAATGATTTAATTTAAATAAAAAAAAATTATAAAAGAGGTGGAAATAACATAAATTGACCCAAAATGCAACATAATCTAAACCGCAATCAGACTAGATATATGGGACATTCATACGAGTATAAATGCAGTCTCTGGAAATATGAAAATAACAAGTTCCGTCTCTTCTAAAATACGTTTTTCATTTCCCATAGAAATAAACCCCATACGTAGGGGAATTATAAAGGACTTCTCCCGTCATGTACCAAATTTGGGCCAGTTTTCACCCAAATAGTGGATTTTCTGAGAAATATACACGGTGTCCCGAAATTCATGCAACAAAATTTGGTCATAGATTCTTGTGATAAATTTAGGGGATCCGTCTTTTTTCTTTTTGCCAACTGGCCCCCTCTTTCGGAGTTACAGCCCCCTGAAAGTTTTTTTTATATCTCAAAACTATGTTGTACGAGAATCACTAAATTTGGTACACAGGGGTTTTATGACATGTGGAATCTCACAGTGCTACTTTTTTTGGCGAAAAACTCCCTTAAGACAGAAACCCCCTTTAGATACTTTTTCGTGGGCCCCCTTGTCTTTGGAACCAGAAAAATTATTAGTTTGCTAGAAAATTATTGAATTTAGAAACCTTTTTGTCTCTTGATATTTTTTTCGTAAAAGCAATGTTTTTGAGGAAAATGGCGAATCACGATATGCATTCGATCACATTTTGACATTTTTCTCTAAAACATTGCGTTTTACGAAAAAAGTATAAACAGACAAAAAGTTTCTAAATTTAATGGTTTTCTACCGGTCTGATAATTTTTAAGAAATTTAAATATGCGACCAAATTTTTTTGGCTCCAAAGACAAGGGGGCCGACGAAAAATTGTCTTAAGGCGGTTACCCACCAAAAAACGTAGCACCATCAGATTCCACATGTCATCAAACCCCTGTGTACCAAATTTAGTGATGCTCGTACAACAAAGTTATGAGATATAAAAAAAATATTATTCTTAGGGGCGGACTTCAGAGCGCTGTAACTCCGAAAGAGGGGGCCACTTGGCAAAAATAAAAAATACAGGTCCCCTAAATTTGTCTTAAGAATCTGTGACCTAATTTTGTTGCATGAATTTCGGGACACCCTGTAGAGATCTTGGGTAAATTTTACTAATGTCATCGGAATCAGCGTCTCAAAACACTAAAACACTACAAACATGATATATTTTGACAAAATTTGGGAAAAAAATCAATTTTGATCTAAGTTGGGCCACTTTTCATCCAAGAATTTGATAGTTGACTTTTATAGCAGAATAGTTACGAAAAAAGTAAAATAAAGATTTAGTATTTCCCTTTTATAAGGAATACATATATTCTCCGTTGTATTTATAAAAAATAAAAAATGAGTCAGATACGATTCTTCAATTAAATAGACATCAACTACTACAGTGCAGTTTGTCATGATACATCCTTATATAACCCGAGATATTCCTGATAATATTTTATTATTACCGTTATACTGGTTATCCTTGTACTTATAAACTTATTTGACTGGCAAATTATTAATTACTATTAACTATAACTTGCTTGTTTTAGTGTTATCTGGAATGATGATGACAGCATGCGACGTAAGTGCTATTGCAAAACCGTGGGATGTTCAACATAGGGTGGCAAAACTAGTTGCTGATGAATTTTTCGATCAAGGAGACCTGGAAAAAATGCAGCTTAAGGAACAACCAATCGTAAGTTAATTTACTCAAATAGGACCAGCCACAAATTGTGTCAAACTTCCGTACATTATTTAAAAAATAATAAAAAAAAAGCTTCAATTTGTTATTAATAATTTCACAATTGTAAAAATAATTAGGTACAATGTAAAGATCAAACTATCGCACATGTTGTGCTTGTCTCTATTTGTCCTATAACTATGTTCCGTGTATACTGGAGGTATCTATGTCCCAAGTACTCTGTGTGTTACTAAAATTTCCTATTGTAGTAAATTCAGTAAAATCTTGAAAACCATTTACCTCTCTCGTATTGGTGTAAAATTAGAAAAACACAGTATAATTATTTTAGTTATTTTTGATAAGTACCTAGTATTTACCTAAAAAACTTTAATATCTTTTCTATATAATAGTCTTTTTTGAATAGGTTGTGGAAAGTCTATACAACTAAAATGTTTCCCCCTAAATCGTATTATAAACTTGCTGAGTCAGCAAAAAATACGATTTTTTCTCTTAGTAGCTCTACCCACATTATCCAATTTTCTTTTTAAGTTTAAGTAAGTTGGAAACTTTGGCTGGATAATAAGAATAAATTGAAACTTCAAAGACTCTGTAAGGTTATATGGATATGCAACATAAAGACGTATGATTGACATTTATCCTAAAACTTAATAAACATAAAATATAGTTTTGAGATGAACTTGCTTTCTACTTAACTTGAACGAATTGTTGAAAATTTATTTTGTCATTTGTGGACGAACATATGTATAGTGAAATATACAATTTACTTAGGGTGTAACAACAACGTTGTTACAAACTTTCATAAAAGGCAAGATTAACGTAAAACGTTTGTTTTTTCCTAAAATATTTCTAAGGGCATCGCGAATGCTCAGGATATGAAACACAATTGGTCAATTACTCAAAAAGAACCATTGAGGATACAGACTAAAAACTTATTACTTATTGTTAACATTTAAATAGACCATTTCCTATAAAAACTTAAATCGAAACTAAAAAAATAATTGTTTGTTTTCTTGAAGTATAAACAAATAATTCTTTACAAACTAATGATACTGCGGGAAACAACTACTCTGCAGCCTAATGTCCCAACCAGATGACAGAAGTAACAATGTTACATCTCCCTTGTAATTCACAGTTAGAATAAAACTGTTCTCAGTAGAACTGTCTCGACAATTTTCTAGTTGGGGAAAATAATTTTAACTCATCGCTGCCCACTTTTTACGATGTTTATTTTTCTCTTACTTCTTTTCCTTTACTTTTAGTACAAACTTTATTAGAATCAAAGATATTGGTAGCAAGGTTTATTATACGTGAGCTACTTGGAGCAAATGCGAAGCGGCAGCTACACAACGTCATATTCTCAAAACGAGAAAGCAAAATATTTCCCTTATTCGTTCTCCCTTTGCCCACGTAAACAGGTATCTACATAAAAATCAACAGTTTTATTTTTCCGCGTCGTGGCGCCTATCGCTTCGCATTCGTTTCAAGTCGCCCACGCATAACCCGCGTAAAGCCGGTTCCAGACGATGTGGCGAATGCCTTCCAACGTTGGACACATCGCCATTTGCCACATAGTGTGGGCGGGCGCTGGCGAATTGCATATGTCCAACGTTGGCTATATGCCACGTTCGGACTTATGTCGATAAATCTGACCAGCGCCAAAGGAGCTTCCAGCGTTGGAAGCATGTTGGAAGCATCGCTCGTCACACACCCACACGTGCGATCTAGTTTACTTTTTGTTTTGTCTACAGGGTCGGAAAGTCCCCATGGTTCATCGGCCGTTACGTGAGAGCGATAAAGTAAGTCATAGAAATCCGTGCGATAGAGAAGGATGGCTATAATGAAGGCGTCTCATAGTCACCGCCCGTTTCGCCCTTCCACAAATAAGATCCACTTCCACTTGTAATTCAGCGACCGGTGGTCATCTTTGTTTTCGTCGTTTGGCTTTTCTTTAATAGATGTCACTACTTATACAATTTCGACTTCGGTATTCCGATATGTTAATACCATCCGTTAACAGAGGGCAGCACAACGCGTAACAAAGAAAACTTTTTACAGTAGCTAGTAGATACCTCTGTTTGTAAATCTAGTGACCTTGTTTCCCCTACTGAGAAGTTATTCAAATGGAGTATAGTGCTCAGCTGCATTTAAAGTTCATTTAGTTGTTATTTAAGTATACTTTTTAAAATGACTTAAAAATCCCAAGAAATAAAGCAAAATTCCCTATTTCCCCAATTCCAAAAAAATCTGTAGATCTGGCATCACTCTTTCTAGGGCTGCGCCTCACCTTAGACAAATTGTGCTGCCCTCTGTTAACGGATTGTATTAACATATCGGAATACGAAGTCGGAATTGTATAAGTAGTGACATCTATTACAGAAAAGGCAAACGACGAAAACAAAGATGACCACCGGTCGCTGAATTACAAGTGGAAGTGGATCTTATTTGTGGAAGGGCGAAACGGGCGGTGACTATGAGACGCCTTCATTATAGCCATCCTTCTCTATCACACGGATTTCTATAACTTACTTTATCGCTCTCACGTAACGGCCGATGAACCATGGGGACTTTCCGACCCTGTATAAAGTGATACTGTTGATATGATTACCTATATTTTTCAAAATTTGTACTTTTCACAAGTGAGTTAAATGTTAAGTAATACTTTACTAAGGCCTTGAATTTCAAGAGATTTTAGTTTAGAGATAGCATCCACTGCCTTCGAACACCTCTTTTTTTTGTAATAATAGTTTTGCACTGCATAATACAGTTGTCTCTTCATCTTTCATTTTTTACTATTTTGTGAATCTGCAGTATGAGTACCTACGACACTGACGAAAGTTGGCCCCACATGTGTTTCCAATGTTCAACAAAAGTTCACCCCATCGTGTAGCAGACACACTTGCCATACGTTTATGACGAAAATTGTGTCCAACGTTGGAACGAACATTGGATCCAACATTGGAACCAACGTTGGACACATCGTCTGGGACGGGCTTAAGACAATGAATTTATCAACCAAAAGCTGGTCCAGCTTAGGTAACAGACACTTTTAGTGTGACGTCACATGTTTAGGCAACCCGCAGCAAATTATCATAGTTGAAATTATACACTGAAAGAAATCCACTAAGTGACGGGCTTTGCTCAGATATTTTAGCTACCGTAGATAAAATTTTTACTGCCACAGAAAAAAAATCATGCTATCACAAGTAAGTACGTTTTGCTGAAACGTGTTTGCTACCACAACGAAAAAAAGTCTTGTGGCTATATGATAGTTCAGTTGGAATTTTATTTTAGTCGACTGACTATCTTGTCCCAAGTGAATGTACTTTTTTAGAAAGAAAACTATATAAAAAATTTAGATAAATTTGGAACGAATACACTGAAGATTAATTTTTCGAGACAGAACGTCTGAATCTGGTTAGGGCTGAGGCAGAATAGTACTGGGGGTCACGAAGGCTTGCAAAAAATGTAATAAAATTTCCAGGGTCGTATTTAAAAAAATGAAGTTGATGATGGTCCTGGAGAGACGAAACGTTACATATAAAAATTTATTGTACCATTCGATAGAGGGCAAAAAGTGGCCATGAGAAAGTGTTCTTCGTTTTTCAATATCTCCTCGCTGAAATTAAACAATAACCGATTTCCAAAATTTCGGTTTTTTGCAAATATTTCGAAAACTAATCATATTAGCCTTGATTTTTTAGAGGCATATTGTTGGTTCCCTGATTACACAACTTGCCCCTATTTAAGCTATCTTATTCTCATATCGATAAGTCGATGACTGCGCGACCTACCTTTTTTTATATCGGTACGTCGCTGATTGCGTGAACTTTTTTTATTTTAGAGGCTTCTTTGCAGCCTGGGACCATCCCAAGCAAAAATCCTATCTACGTCCATGCATATTAATCTACAAATCATAAGTAAATGATCCTAATAAAATCTCACAAAATTTAAATACAGCAATTTAGTGAAACTAGCCACATTTATTCTTCCTGTAAATCAGACGTGAAAATTTTTAGTTCGAGGCAGAATTATGATGACGTAGTTTTCTGATAGCAAAAAAAGTTCCTCATGCTAACAGATTTCTTTTATCAAACAATTATAGAAAGATATATTAATTTTCCGATAACCAGAAAATTCATATTTTCCCGTTAATTTTATGTTCAGTTGAGCTATAGTATTTTATCACATGATCATTCGCAAGTAGGTACACAATAAGCATTTCACGTTTATGCATCATATTGCATTGCGACGGTTCAATGCGGATGTTCATCGACATCTGTCTTCATTAATTAAAATAATTACCTAATTCGCTTTGTAAATACGTATAACATGTTTCACTTAGAGAGGATTCATATCCATTAAGGGATAATCTATCACTAGATTTCACCAAACATGGAAGCTACTACACCTAATATATTCATTAGGATTATGAAATAATATGTAAGTATTACAAAAACGTAACAAACGTATTTTTATATTTATATAAATTTATTCAAATGACCACTCCTGAAAACAAAATAAATAGTGTTTCATTAGGGATGCAACAATGTGAGATTTCTAAGATCAAAATGAAACTATTTAGTACAAGGTACCTTAATCAGATATGCCTCGTTTTTAGTTTACAGAGATCCAGGAATTAAAAATGTTTAATTTTGGCACTATTTCGAGAATCATTCCTTTATTTAAAGTAAAAAACTTCAGTATACATGTTTCTTAGGGTGAAAACTAGAATTGATGTTATGTTTATTTTTATGTCGCACTTTACTTCCAAAAGTAATGATAAATAAAAATGGTATAATAAATTAAAATAATAACCCAGAAGTTTTTGAAATACATAAGAAAAATATTAACACTTAGGTACTTAGATTACGTTTCAAATTCATTAATAAATTCGACGTAAATTTATTTGCTAATAAAAATAGTTGCAAATTGTATTATTAATTCAAAAAATAATTTTTTGTCGCTGATAGATTGAAAGGAGTAACATTGGTTAATGTTAAACTACATATGTCCCATAATACATTTGTAAAGAGTATGTTATATGTTTTTATATGCCCTCTTTTTAGGCAATGATGGATCGCGAACGGAAAGATGAGCTACCCCAGATGCAAGTGGGTTTTATCGACGTGATTTGTTTACCACTCTATAGAGTGCTGTCAGAGACATTTCCATGGGTGAAACCACTATATCAAGGAACGTTAGAAAATCGCCAACACTGGCAAGATTTAGCAGAAAAGGTAGAAATGGGTCTTACGTGGATTGACCATGATACCATAGATAAACCCGTAGAAGCCTTCACAGGTACGTTAATTAAAGAAAAATTCAGATGTTTCAAATATTAAGAAACAAATTGTAGATTTGTAAAATGTAACTGATTCAAATTTCTATATTATGCATTATTTACTACAAGGGTTATCCAGAATCTAGTACCTGTTGTCTGCGAACAAAAGACGCTCACCAAACGTAGGTTACATATTTGAAGTTTAATAAAGTCCTTACCATTTGATATTTACAATTTTATAATAATAGAGCTCTGTTACGTGTTTTTTTAAAATCTACAATTTAAATCAGATTGTTGTTGCGTCAGGCGTTCACTTCAACTCACAGTAGTTGTTAATAATACCTTTGATTTTGCACGTATTTTTTAGTTCATATAATTAGATGATTTTACTCATATATCCATTTAACATTATACAATATATATGCTCGATGTATTTTCTATTTAAACTGCAGAAAAGACTCATAGAGAGGCATATTCAAGAGGAAGAGCTTGCAACATTGCCACTTCATAGCTGCACGCTTACTGATCAGGTGAATCTACAGAAACAGCATTATATTCTGTAGTGACAACACTTCATCTTATGATTCCATTCAGAGCCTTCCACAACAATTAGGTGCACTTGGGTAACTGTGGACGGAGTGACTCTAGGATGGAGTACTTTCTCCACTGCTGTATTCGAGGGACTCTTCCGAGAGCTCAATGAAGGAGATACGTGGATGATCTTGTTATACTTATTTTATTTTATGCTAACGAACTCGATCAAAGAGCTCCAAGCGCAATTATAAACTGCTGCCTAGAGCAGGAATTAAGAGTTAATCCATTTAAACATAAAACATAAAACACACCACAAATCCAAAGCCAAAGGCTGTGCGGAAGGGGGTTACACTTGAAAAAACGCGGACAAACACCCATGATTCATCGACATTGCCAGTGCCGACGCTAGGGATCGAACCCGGACCATAATAGGAAGTCTAGACGAGAAATGCTTGCCACTGCATGCTTGATACTTCAAAGAACCAACTATCTTTTAACAAACAGCAAATATCACGAATGTTAAAGTATTTTTCGGTTACTCAGGAGGACAAATCGGGTACTTTTATATTGATAGGCAATTACAAAAAATCGCGACGTCCTTTCAGACCTACAGAAGGCTTTTTGGAAAGATGTAGGTCCTTAATTCTTAAGCTACTTTGTAGTTTTACGCTTTACAGAACTGTTATTAGTTCATCTTTCCGTTATGCTTATTAGTAGAAGAGGATAAGACTCTTGAAGAAGAAATTTCAAAGGGATGAAACGGCGGTGAAAAAACAAATATTTGGGGCCGGCGTTTCTGTCAATCTATTACTTCAGCACATTAGAAATTCCAGCAGAGTTAGTGTTTGTCTTCGCTCGTACCACAGGCTTGTTTTAAAACTTTAAAATAGCAACTGTGTTCAACAGTATCGTGTTTCACAACAGCAACATGAACAACATATGAGGCGGGTGATGTTTTGAGGCAACAATTTTTTGGTGAACTTCGGGGTGTTTCAATAGTATCCTCAGCTTCAGATGTCAGTAACATATCACTGTACAGGATGACATTCATAATTCAATCTTTTTCTTGGAAATTTACTAATATAATATCTCAAAATATAATCAGCATAACATTTCTAACAGCATGTGGATCTTTTTCTGGGTAGAAATAATTACTCAAAAGATACATCTATAGGTTAAGGGATCATTAGCGTAGTTAGAAGAAGAAAACAGTAATGAGAATGTTAAAATCCACAGCATTATATTTTTTTTGTTAGGGGTATTGCAAGTTTGGAGATAAATGGACAGGTGGTCTAGGTGTGTCCGATTCATGAATTTAAAAAGAAGTTGCAGGTGGTAATATCCCAATAAATAAGAAAGAAAACATGGGGATTGTATGGAGAAATAGGCCACAAAACGCTCCTATAACTTATTAAAAAAAAAATTGTAATTTTAATGAATTATATAACTAATTGGATAAGTTTTTAATTCAGGGCAAAACAGATACTAAATTTTCAATGATTTTCATAATCTATATGTACCTACCTACTTTTCAACATTTGAAACCAATTAGTTACGATAGGTGCTTTTCGTTTTTATATTCCTTGCTTCTTTAAACTTTGATAGCGAGCATAGAAAGAATATTTTTGTATGTGTTTTTTTACAATAGTATAAAAACTTTGGATTAATGTGTGAGTAATTTTCGGTGCGTAATAAATAGTTGGCTCTTTTTTCATTTGAAAATATGTTCAATTATTAGACAAAAGTCAAAGTATCATATTCATTCAGCATTAATTTCTTATTGACTATTATTAACCTCTACTGTACTGATTTTGCAGATCCGGAAGAAACCAAAGATATAGAACTGACTGTCCAAACCCTTCACACCGTGTCAACTGCTCCTCCTATAGAAGTAAAGAAACGAAGTAAACATAAATTTTGTTGCTTATTGTGACAAAAATTTGATAAAGTATTTGATTTATAACACTTTCGTCACTTACATTATTAGATCAAATTATAAAATGCTCATAACTTTCGAAATGTATGTACTTAAAAGGTAGATACATGATTTTATACAGATAAAGTTTGGTGATGCTTAGGAAAATCAACTAAAAGACATTTTGTAATAAAAAAATTTGTAAACCAGAAAATTGTATATAGTAAATATTGTTAAATAAATAGTAAAATACCTAGTATAAAGTACCTGGAACTTATTAATGTTTTATTAAATAGTACGTCTCATATTTTTATTTTCCTTCTATATCCTTTAGACGGTGGTGTTTGTGCAAGTGAGAGGACCTGTGTTGATGTATTCAAGTCTTTCCTATGATATTGAATTTCACGTTCTAAGGGAAGACTTAACAGAAAAAGTGGGAAAGGTGGCTTAGGGCACTACTGATGGCTTTCAGTTTTATAAGCTCTAAGTTTTGTCACTATATAACGAAAACATATTTTTTGAACTGGTGATGAGTTCCTCAAGGATGTACTTGAAGCCCGTAATAATTTTTAATGTATTTAAGGAACCATAATGCACCAGCCAATAGGTAAGCCTTTCCAACGAGCTTGAAATGTAGCATTCTTAATCCAAAGAAGTGATGCCTGAGTAAAGAATGTGTTTGCGTGTTATCAATACCAAGAAAATAAAACAGTTTACAAGACTTAGTTTATTTACTTTTGTTTACGCTTTCAAAGCTTTTGAATGTAGTTTTGTAAAGGAATGTAGGTACCTATATCTTTATATTTTTTGAAAAACTTTAATCCAATTCAGTGATACGCTACTTACCAATTTTTCTAAAAAAGTGCTTAAACGGACCTAAATAGTAGAAATGCTCGTTATCAACAAAAAAATGGTATTGTCAATCTAACACTATTTCATTATTATTCATACTAAACTTGTAGTCACTCAAACTGCCTATCTACAAAAGTCACTAAAGAACCTACATTTTTGACATAAGATTTTCGAATTTCTTAAATACCACGCGCCCAGCCTAATTCAAGGAATAGTCGTACAAATCGCCCACTAACAGATATTTGTCCTTCCGATTTTAAGTTCAGAATCTTGTTTAAAATGCCACATTACAATCCAGTGCCCTTCAAAAAGCGTGACAATGTCCGTCCATACTTAGCTAATAACAAGGCATAGATGGACTACTAGTTTAAAATGTAAAATACTACATCTGAGCGAAACAGTTTTCATTTGTGAATTATGTCCGAGTAAAGATTTATCCGTGCAAAACGTCAATACGCCCAGAAAAAAAAAACATTTTGTAACAGTTAGTTTATTTTTTTTGCATTTTCAAAACTATTAATGTAACTTTGTAAAAGAATGGAGGTATATAAGGTAACCGAACCAAATATGGGCACCCCTAAGCAAATTATTTTTTTATAATTACAGTATTTGTTATAAAATAACTAAATTACTTGTAGATATTCTTTAGATCATTAGAAATTATAAAATGTGTAAAGAATTGATCAAATTGTAATACAGTTTGTTTAAAAAAATAAATAAAAAAGAACGTTCAATGCTCATATTAGGACCAGGGTGTCCAAATATGGGCATTAGGTGCCCATATTTGGGGCAAGTGATTAGGTACATTTTTTTCATTCATATGAAAATAAGATATTGATGTGGTATAAACAACGCATAAAGATATTTTATTAAAAAAAATAAAATAAAACATTGCATTCTGGAAACATAAAAAATAACAATAACATACCTATAAATTTTGTAAAGTACAAAACCTAAATACTGAAATATTTTAACAGCTTAAGTTTCACATGTCGGGCACTTGAAATTTTTTATTTTATCCTTTGAGGTCAAGCCGCAACATTCCTCATGTACCCAAGTAGTACATAGGGTACATTGTCTCATGTCTATTTGTCGATCCTCATTACATAAAACACAATACCAGGATTCATTGGGATTTGACAAAGCACTATAAGATGTATTTTTCTTCTTAGATTTACCTTTTAATTTGGCTGTGATTGTTTCATCGTCAGAAAATAGTGCTTTTGTTACTTGAACAGCCTTGTAATTAATGGCTTTTTTGGCAGGATTTTTAGCTGTGGACTTTGTAGAAAGATCTGGAGTTGGAAGCAACTCTGAAAAAGATTGTGAATGGTTACCATCTGAATGGTCACTGGATTCTTCGGCAGTAACATGTGCCGGAGAAGAAATTGACGACGATGATGCTTCTAAGTCACTATCTTCGTCTGTGGAACTGATGTCTTGACGATCCTCAGAAGTTGAAGGTTTAGTGAAAGCTACAACGGGATGATTTGCAATGTTTTTCTCAGGATCTTCTTGAGGTCTCTTTGATATCGTTGATGGTGCAAATGCGGTTTCTGGTATTATAGTTGGGTCAAATGGATATATGCCAGTTGCTTATTTACATTTTTTGAAAAATTTTTATTCCAACTTAGTGATATACTAATAGAAGGTGCTAGTTTTTTTCTGGGTTATTGATTGCAAGTATTGTATTTTTATTCATAATTGTAATCATTTAGAATTTAGGCAACAAAAAGTTACCGCAAAAACCTGAATATTTCAATATTTCGCACAAGATTTTTGAATTTTCTAAATTGTCTGCGCCCTGTAAAACCCGAGAACTAGCTACACAATTTGCCCCCCAATTAACACACATTTTTGTTTTTAAGGGAAAACACAAATTTCTATGAAGTTTGTGACTATTCTAACTATTCTACTCCACAATTACGCAGAAATTATTTTATAGTAAAATTACTGTTGTGGTACCACTGGTGCGTACTAGTAAGAGCGACGGCGACGTTCTGAAAAAGAATGAACATGCAACGACTACAAATCATATTATATTCCATCTAAGAGCGACGTTCTAAAAAAGAATGAACATGCAACGTCTACAAATCATATAGCCCATCTAAGTGCGACTCACTATAAGTACGTATAGTAACATTTCTTTTATGTTACAGCAAAAAAATAAACGATAAATCGGCGATCACGCCCGTTGTGTTTCTTTGTATCTACCTATATACTTTGTATTGTAACTATGCAACGTCTCCTCGTATCTGCTGATACGCAACGGTGGTACGCTAGATGGTTGAGTACACAAAAAATGAATACCGGCATTTATGCGAAATATTTCTCAGCGACAGCAAAGTTTTGTTGATGGATATATTATCGGGACAAAATTCGTTTCAATGTGGGGAAAGTCATTTCTTTGATCGAGGGGTAATATTTCGTTTTATTCCTACTAATTCTAATATACAGGGTGTTAATGAACTTATGTCAAATATTTGCAACATTGCAAGGAGCCACATATTGAGAACTGCTGATTTTCATAGAAGATGTTCGATGTACCCACCATTTGCTTGCACACAAGCTTCAGCGCGACGTATCCAATTCGCTCGCACACGTTGCAACATTGCCTGGCATTTCGAATCGTAATACAAGCTTCGGCAATACGATGTCGCAGTTGGTCGATGTCACGAGCTTCCGTGGAATACACAACACTTTTCACATATCTTCACAAAAAGAAGTCTAAAGGGGTGAGGTCCGGGGAACGGGGGGGGGGGCATGTAACTAGATTGGCACGTCTTCCAATAACTTCGGCAAGCGATTTTGCAAAAAATTTAGATATGAAGCACCGTCTAAGCGTCTAGGCAATTCAAAAGGTCCTATTAAAGTGTCATTAACGATACCGACCCACATATTCACTGAAAATTGTTGCTGAAGTGCACCGCAACGTATTTCGTGTGGATTTTCGTGGGTCCAGTGGTGAGTGCATGTTGTGGACGTTACGTACACCATTTCGACTGAAACATACTTCATCTGTAACAAGTATTTGCGATAAAAATTGAGGATTTCTTGCATGTTTCTGAAGCAACCAATCGCAAAAACCACGACGTAGTGGAAAATCCTCAGGAGTAAGCGCTTGAACACGTTGAATATGAAATTGGTACAACTGAGCTTCTCGTAATGTCCGCCACACAACAGGATGCGAAATATTTACTTGCTGTGCGATGCGGATCTTCTTCGACAAGATTTAAAATCATCTCTTCGACATTTAAAATTTTTAGTGGTCGGCCTGGGCCACCGTCGCGTCCAAAACTCTTTGCGTTACAGCAACAAATGTTCGTGGTGCGGGGGCACATCGTTCAGGATCTTGCACGGTACACTTGACAAGCTCTGTGGGCATTTTCGTGTGCTTCGCCATAAATTATGAGCATATCATAATATTCGCGATTCTTAAATAAATGCGCCATTTTTTCAAAACAAAACTTGGAAATAGAGCTATTAAATGTACTCTCGAAAAACAGCACAGCAATCACTACAACAACTGAGTTTCGAATATACTCCGGCTTCATAAGAAACCTACAAACTCGTAAAATGTGTTACAGAATTTTTTGTAAGTACTCGCCATGATAAAATACATGTATTTCAGCAGTTCCAAAACAGTTTTAAACCCATTTTTAATTAGCTTTTTTATGACTTTAAACTTCCGATACAAGTTTGTGACATCAGTTAACCCTTTTTCACCCCTTTAAATTTGTACAGCTGTACACGATACTAGAAGTAAAAAAATCTTAATAAACATGGGTCTGCAAACGAACCGTTTGTGGTTATCAGCCACCACTGACCTGACTGTGTAGACTCTCTGGGTGCCTTCGAGCATGATACAGTTCTTATTGTTAGTACAAGAACAGTAGGTACATATGATTTATGTACTGTGGCACATACAAGCGTGCAGCCTCCTGTGCATTAATGTTAGCCCTACTATACATGGAATGCATATCCGCATGCTCCTCGTTTCTGTAATATTCCATTTTACCAACTGTACAGTATAACGTATTATTAAACAAAAAAAAAGTTCACATCAAATAATCCCACTTTTTACATGATTGAACGAGGGCTATTTGCCGTCGTCGGTTTAGACTTCTTAACGTTTCAAAACATATGAATCTCTTCTTCAGATGAAGTATGAATGTTTTTCTATTAAGTAGCAACGGACGATGTGGTATTGGAAACATCTAAAATCAGTTTTCGCAATACTATTTTTAGTTATTCATTCATTCATTCCAATTTTTGTCAGAAGCATTATGGACTTGGGATATGTAAGAATATAAGCAGATACCTACCTATTTAAAAAGGTTAAGTTGATCGCTAAAAACAAAATGTCTCAGTAAAATTTTGACAAGAATATGTTTTCTATTTTCTTGTAGTCCTA